AACATTTTTATACCTCTAAAGAAAGCCATACAGTTTTAGGAAAAAATGCAGAAATTTTTATGTAAAGAATGTGAAAAACATCTGGCATTTGCATTTCTTGCACATAGCAAAACACAACTAACTGGTGTTATGCAATGCAGTAGGATCTGTGAAAGAGGAGTGAACATAAGCACATTAGTCACATTATTCTTTGCAGCAGCATTCTAAGTTTCTTAGGCCTAATCTACACTAACTTCCCCCCCTCATTGATCTAACCTACACAACTTCTCAACTACGCAAATAGCGTAGCTGAAGTTGACATACTTACCACAGTGTCTTCTTTGCAGTAAGAGGGTGGTGGCGGGGGTGCTCTCCTGTCAACTCTGGCTATTCTTCTTGTCCTGGATGGAGTACCAGAGTTGATGGGAAAGTGCTCAGAGGTCGATTTATCATGTCTAAGCAGACAAAATAAATCGACTGCGGCTGGATAGATTAATGCAGCGTCGATCCACTACGTAGTGAAGACAAGCATTTAGCAGCCTCTGCAAGGGCTCCTTTCCCTGAGTACAGCACCTTGAGAGGGCTTTCATTTCCTCTGCATATTCATGGGGTCCCTTACAGTAACAGCAAATTTATGGAGTTAGATTTATTCCTAGACCATCCTAGATGATAAGCAGGTGCTCCCCAATGACTGTCACTGAAATAATTGACAAAAATATAACTTTTGCTGAGATGGCAGTGCACTGCATACCCTGGCAGTCTGCATATCAAAAGGACAGAACAAGGCACCAGTTAAGTCACAAAGAAGAGCTCTATGAGCATTAAGGACCCAGTTCAACTCCCATTAAAGTCAATGAGAGTCTGTCAATTAATTTTAATGGGAGTTGAATCAGGAGTTCAGTGAAGATTTTGCTTGCAAGTGTGCTTAAGCACAAAAATCAGAATAGATTCCTAACATCTTTCACATAAACAAGTAACTCTCTGTGTGCATGCATGGTACAAATGTAGCAGCTATGCTATACCCCCAGACAAACAGTTCTTCATCAGCTCAGTCTTTAAACTCACAACTCACCACTGTGTCTAATATTGATAAATTTGTGCAAATCAAACTTAACATAAGGGGCCTGAGTCACCTCTCATTTATACCAGTCCAAATCAGGTAACTGCACTGAATTCAATAACATCCTACACCAGTGGGAGAAGAACCAAGTATTTTGTCTTTCTCCTTTATTAGGCAATGGTTAAAGACGGAAAGGCAAATGAGTCTATACATTCTTTTACTTAACACCCAACCAAAGGGAGAAGCCTAAATATTGTACTAAATTGTTACAACTCATATTCTGTTCATCTGGCTTAATTTATGTGTTGTTTATACAATACTGGCCATGCCAATTGTCACCTCTGCTAATATCTGTGTCTTTGCTACACACCAATATGTAACTGAAGCCCCTAGATTCAAGTTCTTTTTTCTCTACTATAATTTGATGGCAAAAATATTAAAATTGCAGTATGATTTCTATCTCAATCTCTCTTCTAACCCAATTTACATGGCTAAATCATCCTAAGTAGCACACCTGTTCCCACTGTATTGAGACCTCAAACCAAGATCCCTTCAGACCATCACTGGTATCTTTGACAGCCTTATTTATATAAAGATATGTACCTGCTGCTGATAATGGGTGTCTGCAATGGATGCAGCTGAACTGGTCCTGAAAATGAGTTAACTGCAAGCATAACCAGGAATCAAGCATTGTTTAAGGAACAACTGTTGAGTTGTTCTCTCCCCTACCATAGTCAATTTGTAGGCATTAGGTGGAGATGCCTTGTCCAGCAAATAAGAAATTTGACTTACAACCTGGATGTGCAATGCTTTAAATGTCTGGTTATAATGAATTTAGTTATGGCTGCTTGAAATCTCTTCGCAGATTTCCTTTAGTGGAGACCAGCATTTCATAGTACAGTTACATGGCAGGTGGCACATCCATTCCAACCAAACATTTGAGAGAATAAACTAAGCCATAAATAGACCTTCCTGCAAACCAAAGTCTGAAACATGTTTTTACATACACTATTATTTAAAATTTCTGCAAATTCTACTTATCTTACCCATTCTGCTTCCTTTCATAATGTTGTATCACATTTTAAACATAATGGCTGTGTCTACACTGGCACCCCTTTCCGGAAAAGGGATGCTAATGAGACCAGTCGGAATTGCAAATGCCGCGGAGGATTTAAATATCCCCCGCGGCATTTGCATGAACATGGCTGACGCTTTTTTCCGGCTCGGGGTTTTGCCGGAGAAAAGCGCCAGTCTAGACGGGATCATGCGGAAAATAAGCCCTTTTCCGGAAGATCCCTTATTCCTTGAAAGTAGGAATAAGGGATCTTCCAGAAAAGGGCTTATTTTCCGCAAGATCCCGTCTAGACTGGTGCTTTTCTCCGGCAAAACCCCGAGCCGGAAAAAAGCGGCAGCCATGTTCATGCAAATGCCGCTGGGGATATTTAAATCCCCCGCGGCATTTGCAATTCCGACTGGTCTCATTAGCATCCCTTTTCCGGAAAGGGGTGCCAGTGTAGACACAGCCAATATGACTATATTCTTCTATCTGTGCATTCAAGTTCACTCAAAAAAAGCCAAATGGAGGACAATTAGGTAGTATTTGAGAGCATTTTGCTAGATTCCTTGGAATTTGTCATTTTGAATCCTGTTGTCAATTGATTCTGTATATCCCCATTCAATAAAGCAGGGGTGGCCAACCAGCTAGAGACTAAGAGCCAAAATAGCTGTGGATAGTAGCACAAAGAGCCACATATTATATACTTATTTTTATATATCTATAACCCTAAGGCACCCCCAGCCTCCCTGTTCTAACCCAATGCCCTCCCCTTCACCCAGAGCCAGGCATCCACAATCCCCCTGCTCTAACCCAATGTAACCATCCCTCCCGCAGAACTAGGCATTCCCAGCTCCCACCCCGCTCTACTCCAGTTCTTTTCTCCCCCACCAGAACCAGGCAGCCACAGCATGTAGGGCAGTGACTCCCCCTTCCCAGACTCCTGCTGGTGTCCCTTGCACCACAGCTCTGTGCCTTTGCGCCTTTTCTCTGTCTTTCTCCCCATGGCCATTTTCTCTCTCTGATTGTCCCCACTCCTTGGGGGGGGGGGGGGTTCCTATTGAAATGGGAAAAAAAGCTTTTGTTTTAAAAATATTGCTCTGCCTGCACGGCTTGCTCCAGGAGGCCAGGCTGCTTGCCACCGACAGATGAGCAGCTCTCAACAGCCAGATCCTTTGAAGAGGGTTGGGAAGGCAAGGAGCAGGCTACATGTATTGGAAGGGAGAGAGAGGTGTGCAGGGGGATCTTGGGCCATGCAGCTTTTCACCTTCACTGCCCCTCTCCCCATACCTATCTGCCACAGGTTCAGAAATGCTGTCCCATGCTCACTGCTCCTGGGAGGGCCCCCTTCCCATTACCCCCTAGGCCAGCAAGCAGTCATGCACCAGTTTGAACTGACCACCTTCTAGCCATAGCAGCTACCCATTCCTCTCCTAGAGCCAGGCAACCCCAGATTCTTTTATTAACACCCTGGGTCTCACCGGAGCTGCTACCGCTGCTGCAGCCACATGGTTTTTCATCCAGGTACTGGGGCGTGCGTGCAGAGCGGCTGTGAATTGTCCAGGCATGTGGCTCCAAAAGACAGTTGAATATTCTCTTGAAGGCAGGTGCTGCCATCCCCTCCCCGAATCCCGGACATTTTTTGTTTTAAAAAAGCTGGGATAATGAGGACATATCCGGGAAAAACTGGACGTATGGTAATCCTAAAGAGCCTATGAGCAAAGAGACGCATGAGGCTTGAGAGCCATGGGTTGGCCAGCCCTGCTGTAAAGGAAACAAGAACAATTTTTTTAAGCCTGCCCAAAAAAGTTTGTTTAAGTTCTTAAATTGCTCATCTAATCTACCTAAATACATACATACAGTCACTGGAAAAACTTTTTTTTAGGTGCCAACCAAAGGCCTTGCAAAAAGTGATCAGGTAAAAAAGTGAGGTTTAAATTTTTAACTCTACATTATATCAAATAACATTTTGTTGATCTATTGGGAATAATTTAAATGAGTCAAGATATGGGGCGGAGGCCTTAGTTCTGGTTTCAGAAACAACCATATTTTTACCACTTGGCTATTTGTCTGAGAATAGAATAGAATAGAATAGAATAGAATAGAATAGAATAGAATAGAACTCACCAATGTAAATAAGGTGAATAACAATGAATTTATTCCAGGTTAATACAGATGAACCTGGCCCTCCATTGTTTTGGACACAGGTCATATTGTATGCTCTCCTAAGCTTCAGGGAATCTTCCAGAAGGCCAGTCTACACATAAGATTTCCAGGATTTCTCTTCCCTTCAATATTATTTTTCCTTCCCTTCAAGACTGAGCAATAGACTCTCCTGGCTTGTATAGAAAGGCGCTTAAGTCCATTTCTGATTCAGCGTAAAAATATCACACATGAGACCTCAGATGATGTAAATCAACATTAAAGTCACTAGAAATATGCTGATTTACACCAACTCAGCATCTGGCCCACCTTTTTTTTCCTTGGGAGATTTTCATCCTTTTCTGGTTCTCCCTATGACGACGATGATGATGATGAGCACCACTGTATTCTAGGTGCTCCCCACACAATAGGAACTCACAGACCATGCTCTCTAAAGAGTTTATGGGACAAGGCTGCCAGTTTATTTTGTGTTTTATATGGACTTGCTCTCCAATATTTAACTGCGAACGGTTTTATTAGCTTATGAGACTTAACTTTTGGTATCCAAAAAAAGGAAATGAGACAGTCTCTGCTTATGTAATGAGTAAGGCTGGAATAAGGTGTAAATCAGTGCTAAGGATTGGGCACAATACATCTTGGAAGTGACCATCACAATACATAGTTGCACCCCAAAAAATTAATATCCTGGTGCTCAGCTGTCAATTTGGCATTCAGATTCTTACCTAATTGCATTAACTTCCATAGGAAATGCTTCCAGGAAAGAATGAAAGTGTTTCATCTGTGCAAGGCATTCTGAAACAGCCGTGTTAAGGGTGAACTCTGTGGCCTGTTCAGTCTATTTAGCAAGCTCTGAGATGTGTAAGTACATTATCTGCAAGGCTGGTAAAGAGCGCTTGGGGAGGATTTGTGGGTCTGTGGGAAGGACAAAGAAAAATGTTTTCTAATAAATTATTCACCATCTCACAATCCCTTTTGGGCAGATTGTTGCTCAGTTTGCCCCAATGCTTCACAGCCTTTCGCGCTGCATTCACATGCACATAGTTTCTCACCTCCAGAGAGCAGCAGAGATCTCAGGCAGGCTGCTGCAGCTAATGGTGGCAATTAATAACTTGTCATAATCCTAAGGATGAAAGGGAAGGCTCACCATCAGCAGTCGGGTCATGGCGCTTCTGTAAAGCAAATGAGGTGCAGGTGTTGTCCAGATTTAAGTGCTTTGCTAGACTGTCAGTACACTGCAGTGCCAAGCCATAGACAGAGGATCACCCTACTGATACATAACTTACTGTACTAGTTTTCATGCTCCAGGTGCACACACATTATACAGCCTTTCTTCTCTCCCCCTGGCCCCCCACCACCACCATTGTTCATTGTGCTGAAGAGAAATCCTCAGCACACTTAAATAAATCATAACACAGCACAACATGTAATTGCAGTATTTGCATACACAGGGCAGACTGTGAAAGGGCTATTTTGCATTTGTAAACAGGAATGCATTTGGAACTGAGTGTGTTATCTTTTTCTTTTAATTGAACGTTGCAGAGAAGCAGCAGCTTGACTACCTAATAGCATTTTGGGTCCATGTTCTCTGTTCAAGCTTGAGAAAATGAAACCTCATTATGCTTTTCGTTAAACAGCAAACTACAGAATCACTTATTTTTAGACAGCTCAGTTGCCTTTTCCATTCCTGTGGGTCAGTTCTGCTTGAAATGAACCAAGTTTACAAATCTCTACTGGTTTGTACACTCCTATTATGCATACTAGGTTATGCATTTGTAACTGTCACACTAGTCAGGGTGATACAGCACTCTCATCTGACCCTATTCATTTAAATGGGAGCGTCTTGTTGACATTGATTCATGTTATAAGTTATATCAATGCATTATAATCTTTTCATGTCACCCCTCTGGTTATTTCTACTAAAATGTTGTGAATAAATGCTGGCAATAACGGTCAGTAGGATTTGAGACTGTTTTAAAGGATGTGGAGTCCATCTAAAGCCCAGGGTCAGTATATTATCTGTCCCTTTATTCGAGAAGACAATTAACATGCAAAGTATTCTGTTCCTTTGTGCTGGAGTGTTAAAGATTTTGCTTACTAGCTTATTAATAATTTGGGGCTATGCATTGCAAATGTATATTGTGCTAAACTAATGGGATAAGTAAATATGATTATGCATGCATGTAGGTCTTTATCAAGGTGTGGCTGATAATGTTTTAAAGTAGAACTATTTCTCATGAAAATAGCTCCTCTTAATAGCCTCTGTCTCTTTATTGTGTTTCTTAGTGAAACATAAATCACTAATATGTTTTCAGCTGCAAACTACTCTCTTTTTCCATTGTATTCACAGATTTAGTGGCATTTCAAATAGATAAACACAAGCAACATCTATCAACACTACAAAAAGGGGGCCTTAATCAAAGCTCCAGGTCCCAGGTCTCAGCATCTCCATTTACCTTGAGATAAATCCATTGGTGTGACCACCACTGCACAGGGTGACAAATCACCCTAGTCAGCTGAGCAGCGCAAGGGCTTATTGGCCTTTCTTTAAGTGGTCTTACCCTTCAATGAAAAGGATGGTGCTTGTCAAGCAGGGCCAGATTAAAGTTAGACACAAAGAAATGATCTGTTATTAGAAAACTCCAATTGAGAATCACAAAACAAGAAAGAAATATGAATAAGAATGTACAGTCCAGGAGCCTGACCCCCTAGCAGAAATGAATTTTAATTACTTGTGTGACTCAGTACATTATGAATGTGCAGCTAACAGGGCAATGGCATTAAATTAATAAGTGGCTGGCGGAATGGTGGCTGCGGTGGGTACCACAGCAGCGGGGCTCAGACGTGGCTTTGGGTGTTGTGCTGTCCTGGCTGGTGTGTTTCGTGGAAGTGACCTGACTCAATTCCAGGACAGAGGGTGGTAACCAACTACTGTATTAGAATCTCCAGGCACTTGGCATTGTTGCCTCAGCCTCACAAGAGGTCCCACGCCATTCACCTGTTTGAAGGATGCTTACTTCATAAATGGAAATCAGGGGAAGAGATGGTTAGGGCTTGCAGGGGGAAAGAAGCAGGTTCCCAGGATAAGCGGGTTAGGTGATTCTCAGCCTGGGCTAATGAGGCTTGGCCCTTAGTGAACATTTTACTCGGAGTGAAAGATGGGCTGGGGAGAGGGGGGATTAAACAAAAACTACAGGCCTATAGATCTAGCTATACCCATAAACAAGCATATCCATACCCAGAAAAATAGACAGATGGAACTTTTAACAATAAATTAGCCAAATCCCCCCCCAACATCATTAAATTATCTCTTTAAACCATGGGCCAAATTAATCCCTCGTGTAACATCACTGAAATAATTGTACCAGGAATTAATTTGGCCCAAAATATTTTTGTTGGGCCATATAAAAATGGACTGAGTTTTAGAGATGTCAGTGAAAAATACAGAAAGAATTATATTTACTTAAAGAAAAGGAAATGATTGAGCAAACATCAGCTAAAAAAAATTCATACCAAACATACTTGGGAAACTGGGCAAATATTTGCCCATCCAATTGATCTGTTTGCTGAAGAAATTCACAATGAGGCTCCAGTGAGACAATCAGAGAAAGGAAGAAGAAACGGTTCATATTTAGAGCTATTCATTGGGCCCAAGTGAAAGTTTCTTTCTTACTAACGCTGAGATTCAGGCATTTTAAACATATCAAGATTTTTTCCTGATTTGATTTTGTACATGCAATCTCATAAATGAATATTCTGTAATCATTTCATTGAAAAATGCCTACACAGATGAGCACAGGTATGCTTTCAATTTGTCCAGATTTCTCAAATTAACTGCTAAGAATACTTAAGAGAAACACTGCGCTAATTATAGAGTCTTGACAACGTATTTTTAAAATTGTAACAATATAATTATTATACTTCACATCACAATATATAATTACATTGGCACATACCCACAAAGGAAAATGTATATACTGCTTTTATTTAAATAGCTATATGCATAGATAAATATAGTATTTTTATTCAAAAATCTCAAAGCACTATATAATGGTGGGTAAGTATCCTCATCTCTTATTCTTAAACACAGAGTAAGGAATAGAAAGATTAAGGGGCTTGCCCAAATTCACAGTGCAAGTCAGTGGCAGAGTCTAAATTAGAACCAGGTCTCCTGATTCCTAGACTTGTGCCTTCCCATCATGGCTCTACAAAGGCATGCAGGGCCATACAGGAGTTTCTACCCTGCTTTGAGGAGATAAAATGCTTGATAAGGGCTCAAAGTCATTGGCCCAGGTCTATAGTGGGGAGATCAAGGAGTAGGATGTAAGGAGTGATAATCTGGTTTAAGGTCTTGCACAACCTGGTCAATGGTCTCAAATAAATTAGAGCCTCAAGGCTACTCTAATTTATGCCAGCTATCAATGTTTCCAGTGACCGATGGGGCTTGCCAACGTGCTACGAAGCTTTTACCAGTCTTCATATTCCCCAGTTATGTCCCCTCTATGTTGAGAGTCAGGAAAGAGGTTGGCATAGGAGCCACTCTGTCAGTGGTGGGCCACCGGAGAATCTCCCTATACTGGAGTGAGGCTCTGTAGTCAGACAGCGTAGTTACAGGGCTGCTATCAGCCAGGAATATCTAACAAAATAAGGGCACCACTGTGCAAAATCTACACATTGAAGTCTTATTATTATGAAGATTTCATATGAATTGCTAAGGAATTATTAAGATCATATTTAATGAGCTATTTCAAACTTAGAAATGTTTGCTAATAAATAGCTAGTGGTGAGATATAAAGTCCCCAATAATGCCTTTAAGTACATGTAATATCGAAGTTATTGCTTTAAACATGTAGTATACATATGGGCACACCTAAGGTCTAATGAGTATTGTATGGTAATTGAGTATATATTGATTAATGACATTTTTACTAGGAAATAATGGTTAACTATCACTTGGTATTTAATATACAATGATTGCCACACTAAGTCTAAAATGAAATCCTTATGACACAGTATTTAAAGTGTGACTGATTATTCTGTGCATTAGGTTGAAAACAATTATTAGCCCTCTGATATTCATAGGGAAGACTGTCATAGCTTCTTATTTTTCCTATAGAGGAAAATTCTTCTGTGTAGTATTACTGTTACTGGTAGCTTTAAGCACCCCAGGTTTTTGAGCCTTATGTATCTTATTGTGACTCTCACTTCTGAGCCATGGAATAGCAATGATGAATAACACAGGGAATAATGAATGATCCCTGACTGAATGTGAAGCTATAATACACTCTCAAGGTTCAGCTTACATCATAAAGTGTGAGAAAATGACTCACATGGTTTAGGTGCCCTGAGACTGAATCACAGTCCTTGTATTCATTGTTGGATGAAGGCCAGCTGGGAGGGTCAGACATCACATCTTACTCCCATGCATGAGTTTCTGTCTTAGAAGCGATCTCAGTGCTCTAATTCCCCAGGTAGATGTGAGCTGTTTCACATAGATGACATACTTGATCTCTGAGAGGCGAGTGTTTGAAAGTCATGCAGCTCTGACAAGGACCATGCTAATTCACACTGAGTAGCATCTCACAAATTAGATTGTTAAAAAGTTGGGTGGGTGGAAATTCAGATCTATGCAATCCCAGACTAGTGGAATTCTCTTTGAAAAATACGTATTTGTCCCCTCTTTCTTTTTCTCTGTGTAAGGAACAAGTACTGTGGAATGACATGGGTTCAGGAGCAGCTGGCAAGAGTGAGGAGAAGAAGACGTTTGTAAATAATTAAATGAAAAGTGAAATTAAAAGGTCATGTATAAGACATCGCTTTGATTAATTTGCTTTCATGTTACTTCACTTCAACCCATCCTTTGTTTAAAGCATTTGTGTAAGCACAACCAGCTGTGTGCGATTCTTTAGCTCGGGGGTTTTCAAACTATGGCTTGCGACCCAGTACTGGGTGGTGGAATGTCAGGCTCATTGGGTCTCATTGCTGCAGGGGGATCAGGTGACCAGCGGGAGTGCTAAGGAAGGCTACTGGCACTGCAATCCTGGCACTGCGCCCCAAAAGCAGCCAGCAACAGGCCCAGCACCTAGGTGGGGAGAGGGAGAGCACACAGGGCTCTGCACGCTACCGCTGCCCCAAGCTCTAGCTCCATACTCCTATTGGCTGGGAACCTGCTGCTGGCTGCTTCTGGGTGCAGCATGGTCTGTGGTGCCAGGAGAGGCAGGAAGCTGCCTTAGCACCCCCACTACACTGCTGACCCTGAGCCACTGAAGGTAAGCCCCTCCTGCCCCAGCCCTAACCAAAACCAGAGCCCCCTCCTACACCGCAAAGCTCTCCTCAGCCCTCCTAGTTAAATTATATTGGGTTGCAGGCAACAATGACATTCTTCAACTGGGTCATGAGAAAAAAAGTTTGTTAACCTTTGCTTTAGCTCAAGCCACTGGTGCTTTTAGCTCCAAGGGGCTGCAGTTCAACCCCTAATGCATGGCTGCCAACAGACTCCGCCAGGCCCCGGGCAAAGTGGGGGGAGGCTCAGCTCCATGCACCCAAGAAGGGGCAGAGCCTTGGGCAGAAGAGCCCCCACACTCTTAGTGCTGCACAGAATGCGCCACATGGGGCTCTGGCATCTATTTAAAGCACCCAACACTCTGATCACTGCTGCTGCTATGTTAGTGGCAGTGGTTTCCTGGATCCCCGGGCACTTTCAGATTACTGGGCCCTTGGGCAAATGGCCTCTTAGGCTCCTTGTGAGCAGCCCTGCCTTGGTGTGGCAACCAATATGGCAGCTATTACATAAGCTCAGGAATCATGTCTTCCTAAATGTCTAAAAACCACTTAGCACACTTTGGGTGCTAAATAATATAAGGGATTTTTATAAAGAAGCCATTTAATTCCTCCTTCCAGCCAGAAGGAATGAACCACCTTTGTCCCTGTCATTAGTAAGAGAAGCGAAACAAAACAACAACCACTAACACAAATAGAAGGTGGGGAAAATTTTTTTGCCTTTTCGGATGATTAAAGAAAATAACACATTTTGGAGCACGGTTACATTGGAATAAAGATAGTTGCTATTTATTTCTCTCAGCGGGAAACAAAATTCTTCTTACCTAGAAATAGCTGCAGTGCCAGAACAACCAGCAAATTTCATATTCTGAAAATGGCACTGTTATTAGTTCTGAAAATGTAACTATACATATTTATGCTGATAGAGAAACAACTATCATTATTATTATACCATAGAATAGATGTCAAGCAATTGCAAAATTTAATAGGTCATTAGAGGTAGAGCAGATTTTCCTGAGAGCCTTGAATTTGTTGACTACAAACATGCAAGTACATTTTTAAGAGTTAATTTTATTCTGAAAAGCCACCACTTAATCCTCCTTTAAATACACCTGCTTAAAACTTTAACTCTGCTGCCTACAAGTCATTACCATTTCACACTAGTTTGTCAAATGGAGTATTTAGATTTCCACTTTCCTGATGAGCTCTTTTCATTTTGTTACCAAAGCCACTCACTTGTTTGTCTGTCTTTTAAACCTGGTGCATCCAGTCTATTATCAACTAGCCAATTAGCCCGTCATAAGGCAGGATTTTCAGGTCTCTTCTCCATGTCAGTCTTTTCTCCTGAGCCTCCACTCACTCGCTCTGTGTCTCTTTCTCTCTCTCTCCTCTTCCTACTGCCTCCCCCCTCTCTCTCAGCTCTCCTCTGTCTTCTGCCTATCTCCCCATCTCTCTCTTTCTCTTCTCCCCCTCCTGCCTCTCACTCTCTCTCCACTCTCCTCTGTCTCCGTCGGGAATGCACGCTCGTCCAGGGCCCGCCCCCTGGCTGTGTACATCACCGCCCTGTTCCCCTTCTCCTCCTGCTGTGGCGCTCAGCTGACTTCTGCGCCGCTCAGCCAGGCTTTTGCAGGGGAGCAAGCAGTGCAAGCGGCTGTTTGGGCTCCCCTGCGGTGGTCCGGCTGAGCGGCACAGAAGTCAGCCGTGAAGGGGGGCGGGGTGGTGACATACACGGCCAGGCCCTGCCCCCTGGCCGTGTACATTACCGCCCCGCCCCTTCCCCTCCCGCCATGGCACTCGGCTGACTTCTGCGCTGCTCAGCCGGGCCGCTGTGGGGGAGCAAGCAGCACAAGCGGCCATTTGGGCCCCACGCTCCCCATCCAGCATTTCAGCAACAGCGCCGCCGAGAGGAAACAGCCAGCATTTCAGGCAACAGCGCCCCACAGAGGGAACAGCCAGCATTTCGGTGTTACAGACTCTCAGACACTGGGCTACTATATATATGATGTCAGTTCTCTGGGGGCATGGTTTGTTTCTGTGTGTCTTTGCAGAATCTAGCACAAGGGGGCCCTGATCCTTGACTTGGGGTCCTAAATGCTACCATCAAACAAATTAATAATTAAAAGTCCTTACCCTGGACACCAAAAATCAAGGACTAAAACCTTATGATCACCCTACCACAATGCACTTGTGCAGCCACAATCAGTTGCACACATCAAGAATGCTGACTGGATAGAGGTTTTTTAAGTTTATTGGTACAATAAATGCTCACTATCTATTTAGATCCTGAAGAAGGCTAGTTTCTCTAAACATTGACTCTTCTGTTTCACCAGCTGCTTCAAAACAGAACAAAGAGCATTTTGCAGTTACAGTAACATAACTTGCCTAGTAACAGTTACATTTTCCTATTTGTTTAGGTAATTTTAGGGAGCTTTATTGGATAGTGTCTTTTCTGAAATAGCCACACCCATCATTTTTATACAAATACAGTTATTAGTATCTTACAGTATATACAATGTATAGTTGTGGATTGGGTAAAAGGCTCAGGGCTTACAAATGTCCAGGAAATTTTCTTGGCAAAGGCACAAGATCTGAGAAAAGATGGTAATGCCAGGTTTGATCTGAGATAAAAAGTTTGGCTGCAGATGTTTGCTGTGGAAATGCACAAGAAATAGCACAACATCACGTTGAATGTCACAGTAATGATTAAACACTGATTCAAGAGGAGAAAGGTGTAAAATATGCTGGAATAGGGGGTTTGCTGTTATACATGATGTAACAAAACTGTTATGGTGCATAGTGCATATGTTGTAAAACCAGGAACTGATGATGGTGAGCTTGACCAAAAATGTGGGTCAAATAGGATGTCAGTATTGGTGTCTATATAATGCAAGTGAAAAAGTCTCAGAGGGGTAGCTGTGTTAGTCTGTAACTTTAAAAACAAATGGTTCTGTTGCACCTTAGAAACAAACATATATATATATGTGGGTTTTGCTCACGAAAGCTCATGATACTATATATATTTTTTGTTAGTCTCTAAGGTACCATGGGACCACTCTTTTTTTTGCAAGTGAAAAAGGTTATGCTACATAAAATGTGCATGTAGAAAAGGAAATTAGACAATCAACTCTAAGGGGCAGGGATTATTATTTTCAGTGTGTTTGTACAGCACCTGGCACAATAGGTTATCTACTTCATTGCCCTATAGTTACTATTGGATGGTAAATATTAAATAATAATGATGGTGATGATAAAGTGAGTGTGGTATATATGATGGTCACAGTGGGGCCGACAGCTTTGCCAAGACCGTGGGCAAGGTGGAGGGAGGGGGCCTTACTCTGTGCCCCTGGAAGGGGTGGGTCCTCAGGCAGAAGGGACAGGGCTGGGGCTAGGCTCCCCTCAATGCTGTCCAGAAAGTGTTGCACACTTTTCGCAGGTAGCCCTAAGCAGTGCCCAGAGCATGCTGCACAGCAATCCAGCTGCCAGCAACAGTGAAAAAGAGCTCTGGGCCCTTTTGCATCACTAGGTTCTGGGCAACTGCCCCCTTTGCCCACCCACCCCATTGGCAAGCTTGGATGGACAAAAGACTATGGAGGAGATTGTCTGAGAGTGAGGCTGTGTCTAGACTACACAGTTCTTCCAGAAAAAGACATGCAAATTGCAAACTGCAATTTGCATATCTTTTTCCGCTTCTTTTTTCGGAAGAGGCTTTTCTGACATTTGGCCCATCTCCCATGGGCCATATGTCAGAAAAAAAACCCTTTTTTGCTACATCCATTCTCCCTTGTAAAACGAGGTTTACAGAGATGCCTAAGAAATGTGTCTGCGCGTCCAAAAATTTTTTTGGAAGAGCAGACATGTTTCTTGGACATGGCAGAATTTTTCCGGGATACTAGAGTATCCCGGAAAAATTCTACAGTCTAGACATACCTGAGGGTTAGATATTCTGAGATGCAGGGGGAAAGGACAGAGGTCTATGAGTGAAATGGTTACAATACAATAGTATTGCAAAAGGTATCTGAGAAAAAGTCCAAAGATTATGCATGGAACATGCAAGGGTCCTAAACAAGGCATGATCCTTTTATATTCTTTGTATAACTGACCACTGGCTATCAAGGTTCTTTCATGCATAACCCTTGCATTTTTGCCAGAATGGGTTTACAGCTCTCCAGATATGTTCAATAAGTGATGAATATGGCTTATGTCATTCGGCAAATCAAAGGCAAAAATATTTAACACAGTTGAATTGTTCGGTCAAAACAAAACAGTAAAACAGGCTGAATCCAGAGTAATTACATCAGCAATGATTTGGCCACAGATGTCTTGCACCTATAAAGTCCTCTACTTTTTGTGTAACCCATACAAAGGATAAGTAATACTTTTTGTAAAATTAATGTCTCAGAGTAATCAACCAATTGTTTTCATTTGTTCTGGTTTTAAAAAGGGGGCTTTTTATTTGGTATCCAACATTTCTGTGATCTTCCTTAGTGGGTGAATATTTTTCCAGACCAAGAATAGCCACAACTTGCTCCA